TATATCGACATATTCTCATTTTTAACTGCGCAAGGAATTGTATAAAATTGTAATATGCTAACGTTTACCAAAGTTTTGCCACGGATAAAGCATGCACTTAGGAATATAACCCAATAAAAATCTCAATTACGGTTAGAACCTCTTTAAACCCCGATTTGCTATGAAAGAACCCATTTGCTCTTTCCGTTTAACTATATTAAAAATTCGTATTAATTTGTGGATAATTTATAGTGTTAAAAGTTCCATCATTCATATTTATATATTGAATCTTACGAGCCAATTATACTTGGAACTTTTGGAGCTGACTAATAGTCCAGTGGCATATTAAAAATACTGTAAATAGAATCACAAATATTTTATTTATGGCATTTAATAATTCTCAATTATTAACATTTTTAAAATTTACCATTGTTCGGACAAAAATCGCATCCTAAGTCTGCACTAAAGACTATGAGGTTTTCTCCATATATTAATTATTTCTGATCAAAACTGAGAACTTTCATGTAAATTTAGTAGCCATTTTAAAACGAATAATTATAAAAATTTAACAGTTTATGCTCTATCATCGCGGTTGTTTATATTCCCACATTCTAATAAGTCTGTGCCATACTAAAGACAAATAGAAGCATTTAACAGATTTATAAACGATATTAAGACAAATAGAACCTTTTTAACAATTAAACTTATTCGAAAATTTTGATTTTCATGGATCCTGGCATATGGACTATGATGAATTTAATAGCGTTAAAGTTAAAAAAACAATTTATATTCTTTTTTATCGACAAAATTTTTTTGGCAATTTGTTTAATCATAAATCTATTGTTATGCAAGATAAGTTCCACAGCATATAATCATTATATATATTTAATATTCAATGATCTACCACTATCATTCAGCTTGTTACTCTTCAGTTTAACTAATTTTATCGTATCAAAACATTCCTTTAAAATTTTTTTGTCACATTTATTACTTGTCAATATTGTGATACAGCACACTACGTTTGTAACAGTTAATAATAAAATGTCAACAAAAAAAAAGCAACCAACTTCTACCGATATCTTTATTGATCGTATTAAGGGAAAAATTAAATCTGTTAACCCGTCCTATGATCCATTTACACCAAAGTTGGATGATAATTTAGAAAATTGGAAGGACAATTGGAAGAAGTACAATCTAAATTTGCACACTAAGATGGTACAAGAAAAAATTAATTTGAACTGGATTGAATTTTGTAGCAGATTTAATTTATGTGAATCGTTGTATGATTCAATCAAAGGAAAGGAATTCAATTCTCCAAATATGAAAAACAAAGAAATAAACAGATTGATTAGAGAAACCATTCCAAATCCTGAAAATGTTTATTCAAATCTTTACTCAATAACAACGTTTTGGAGGAAATCATATGACAATTTGACTTTGATAATCGAAGGTAAATAAGAATTTTATTCTGAAAATCGAACTTTTTTGATTAATTATTTTATTATTTAATTTAAGAATTTGATAAGGAAAAAATTCCCCGAGAAAGAATACTCGAAAAATTGAGATGTTCAAACATTACAATTAATTATTTTCAGGAAGTTGGTCCTCAAGATATTAAGAAATTAATTAGTTGTTTAATGGAAAAAGATAATTAATGTATCAGTTAAACTTGGAAGAACAAACCCTTTATTTGATTGTTGTTGTTTAAGTAATTTAATTTTTTATGCAATTATGATTTTAATTTTATGTTTTATTTTTTGCAAAATTGAATTATGTAGTAAGTTTCAAATTAATTATATTATCGAAATGGTTAATTTTTTATGCAATTATGATTTTGAACTTTTATTATTTTGTTGAAAAATTACTTTTGTTTTTTAATAATTGAAATTCTTATAACTATAAATTTGTAATTAATTATAAATTAAAGTGATTTCTTCATTGAATTCCTGACCCATAAACATTCAAGAAGTAGTGAAAAGATCAAAAAATTTAAAGTAAATAAATAATTGGCTAAAGACTTGTTTAATTGATATCTTCTGAAAAGTCATGTGTTTTTGGTGATTATGCATGTTTCACTAAAGGCTTGTTTAATTGATAACTCCTGAAAGATCACGCAAGGCGTTTTAATGGTTCACAGTTATACAAGTAAATAAATCATGTCTTTCTAAGATGATTGATAACTCCTGAAAGATCACATAAGGTGTTCTAACGTTTCACAGGTATACAAGTAAATAAATCATGTCTTTCCAAGAAGATTATAATTGGTGAATAAATCACGTCTTTCCAGGATGATTATGCAATGCGTTCTAATTAGGGATGGGTTCGGTCGGTCATTTTCGGTCAACCGTTTTATGACCATTAGCCGTATTTTGTGATCCAGTGATTTGAATCAGATGATTTTGGTACCATTCAATTCGTCTCAATGAGACGAATCTAATGGTACCAAAATCATCCGATTAGAATCGTTAGATCACAAGATACGGCTAACGGTCATAAAACAGTTGACCGAAAATGACCGACCGAACCCATCCCTAGTTCTAATGTTTCACATATAATTACTTATATTAGCTAGAGACTTGTTTAATTGATAACTCCTGATGAAAGATCACGCAAGGCGTTCTTACATTTCACAGTCATACAAATAAATAAATCATGTCTTTCCAGGATGATTATGCAATGCGTTCTAATGTTTCACATACAATTACTTAATTGGCTAAAGACTTTGTTTAATTGATAACTCCTGATGAAAGATCATGCAAGGCGTTCTTATGTTTCACAGTCATACAATAAATAAATCATGTCTTTCCAAGATGATTGTAATTGGCAATAAATCATGTTTTTTTTCCATGATTATCCAAGGCGTTCTAATGTTTCACATACAATTACTTAATTGGCTAAAGACTTTGTTTAATTGATAACTTCTGATGAAAGATCATGCAAGGCGCTCTTATGTTTCACAGTCATATAATAAATAAACCATGTCTTTCCAAGATGATTGTAATTGGTAATGAATCAAGTTTTTTTCCCAAATGATTATCCAAGGCGTTCTAATATTTCACCACAATTACTTAATTGGCTAAAGCTTGTTTAATTGATAACTCCTAATGAAAGATCACACAAGGCGTTCTTATGTTTCATAGTCATACAAATAAATAAATCATGTCTTTCCAGGATGATTATGCAATGCGTTCTAATGTTTCACATACAATTACTTA